CCTTACTGAGTGCTTCTTATAGTGCCTTATTTTTCAAGAGGTGCATGATTGATTGCTTATAAAATACTTCGAATATGGAATTTTAATTTTCCATTCATTGCTTGCCATTAGATAGGTGTCAGACTTCGCGATTTCGATCTCGCGAAGGGGCGGGTCGCGATGGGCGGATCCTGGCGCGATGCCAGCATCGCGGGCGGTGCGTAGTGCCGCAATACGAACAAGGACGGGATCAATAACGACACGCCCTGCTCACGATTCCAGCAGCATCAGAATCGCGCCACGCCCACTCGCGATTACAATCGCGAAGTCTGACACCAACCTTAGCGCCACGCATAGCTCAGAAACCCTCATCTGTAAGTTTCCTGGCGCAATGTGGCTCGAGGGGGCCAGTCGCCGCGCGCGATCTCTGCTCGTCCGCGCCCTGTAGTACTAAGCCTAGGAGTGGGCAGGAACTTTGGGAAGATGAAAATTGCTATGATCCTGGAGTTCCTCCTCCCCTGCCCGAGGCTTAGTCCCGATTTAGCGAAGAGGAAATGCTTACACAGAAAAACGCAGAGATCGCGCGCGGCGACTGGCCCCCTCGAGCCACATTGCGCCGTTCCTAGGCCAGTTTTTGTATAATGTGTGTGTTGAAGAAGTTTACCTGGAACAGGGTTCAGCAGAAGAGGAATATCCCTTGTCAGGGTTGGGTTCCATTAAAGGGGAGGGAAAGACTCTGATGACAAAGTTGCTCAGCAAGCCCACTTTTCTTTCCCTACAGTACTTCTTCTTATAGGGTGAATTGACTGCGATCATGAAGTGATCAGAAATCGTTTCAGTGCTACATTTACTACATGATCAATCTTCGCGGTGCTCCTCTGCTTCGTCCGTTCCTCATCTTCGGATTCATTGGTCTCTGCATCGTCGATTCGTTCTCGCGTATCAACGGCTACAAGAACCACTGGCGAGACATCTGGGTCGGATGGCTGATTCGGATTCTTCATCGCGTTCTTCCTGGTTCGTCAGTCTCTAGCCTATCATCTGCCTAGTCTGAAAAGCATCACTTTCAGTGTCACTGTGTGCTCTGTTTCCAAGAGATCTACCACATGGTCATCGAGAAGCCGGCTGTGGTTGAGGAACGTGTGTCACCGTTCTTCTCCTGGTTCCGCCTACCGAGAGTACAAGCTCCATCTGTTCGGGAGGAATATGTGTGAGTAATGAGGGCTGGCGAAACCGATGTGGTTATATTGTTAAGGTATCGAGGTCAGATTCCTTCGTTCAGGTTATGAAGAAGAGCGTGCCCCAGACGAGACGATGCCCGCCAGCGCAGAGGCCAAGATCGACAATACGAGTGAGTTCTCAAAAAAAAGGGATCAGTTTTGGGTTTTAAAGTGTAAGGCAATGGATCAGATACGCATAAATGTAGTTGTGGGACCAAGGTTTCCCCATGGGTTGGGGAAAAAGGTAGACCAGGTTCGCCATCTGCGAAGAAGTGTGCATTTCGGCAGTGATAAACGGGTCCAGAGTGTGGGTCAGTAGACAGAAACGACTTCTTCATTTTTTGCAGCGTTGAACTTTTTCGCTGCCGGAACCCCAGGTCCGTGGCAGGTCATGAGTGGACCTGGGGTTTCCATTGCAACCTGTAACGCATTCCCAGTGAGCCAGGAAGGATGTGTCTCATAAGGCGCGATCCCATTGGAGCGCACAGGCCGTAATTACCACTCCTGCTGTGAGCGGACAACTCGTCCGCGCATTCTGTTCCTGGTATCAGGCCAAAAAAAGAAAGAAAAAAGAGAAGAAAAAAGCTATCTGCTCTTTCTAGATCTTTGGGACTCAGCGAGATTTTTGAGACCCAAATTATCAGATCGATCAATTACTGAAGTCTAGTAGTTGAGTGATACGGACGAGTTGTCCGGCCGCAGCAGGATGGGGCAATTGCGGCCTGTGCGCTCTAATGCCAATGGATCGCGCCATATGACCGCCTCCCAGCCAGAAGTAACGCCTGAGTGCTCCGGCCTCCTCGCAAGACCTTTGGTCGCTCAGCGCACGTTTGTGTCTGCGTCTTGCTTGTCCCTATGCTCTCTCATCTCAATTGGGTGTTCTTTTTCGTAGCCACAATCCAAATATGGTACCGTATTTTTTGCTTTACTAGACGGTATTTTTTGCCTTTTTCTTCACAGACTGTCGAATATAACCCTTAATTCAATTTTTGAGCTCGATTGCTTCACCCTGACAATCATGGTATATGTTTTTGATAGCAGATGTATGAACTATGGCTGTTAACGTTCTATGACGAATTTTTTGACCTGACGATTTTCTATAGAATGAAGTTATCCTTTTAAGGTAACAACAACGACCGAGTCCTATCATCGAACAATCAGTCCTCCACAGCACAACGGTTATCAGTACTGAAGTGCCTACGAAAGAATTCGCCTATTCAGAGGCCTTCAATGGTCTCAGTCATCTCATCAGGGTGTCCTTCTGCTGCATACGAAGCACCATTTTCTGAGAATATTTATAGAATTATTGTTAAATTTGCTCGTTAGCTTCTTTTATTGCATTGCTCACAATTTTGGCTGCCTTGGATTGCACTGCTTTCTACTAGAAAAGATTTCTCGTACGCCATATCTATATCATATAATTTCCTAACTCTTATAAATGCTAATTTGTAGGATATTCGACTGGAATTCACGTTTTACCGTATCCGGTTCTTAATTTTACATTCGAATCGAATATCAATAAATGTGGAAATTTTCATGGCCTGTCTCTGAAATAGGTCCCAAAACAATTCTTACAGTATGCTGTGAATATTCCCGAAAAAGCTTCCCACAAGCACTCCTTGTAGAATTATTTATTTTTCTTTCGATTATTTGTTTGATTTTTTTAAATTTTCCACAGTAACAAGGGAAAATGGTGCTAAGTGAGTTGGGAGGGGGACCACGCGGCGGCGCGGCGTCTGTCAAACGCAATGGCACTGAGCCTGAGCCTAGAAGGAGGCTCAAATGTGCCAAAAGTCAATCACAAATCATAATGTTCACAGCTTACCCACTCCTTCCTAGGCTCAGCTAGTCCCATCGCTTGAAAAAATGGCGCCGCCGCGTGTATGCCTCCCCAAAATCACCACCGGGTACATCGTTCAATTGAGGTAGGGTGTCATGGTAGCGAAAAGAATGACGCTAAACGAGCCGATGCGTCAAATTCCCCTCCCATAAATTCTCAACCTAAAAGAGAGAGAAGGGATTTGCCATGGGACCCTCCTTCTCCCGTTGCTGTTCTGGGAGTCGCTTTGAACTGGGAACTTGTGCAATTTCAGAGACAACAAGGACGCAGCAGCAGTGATGCTGTGTAGGCGAATTTTGAGAAAATGCGTGCCATTCATATCTCCACAGGAGCCCATGAATCCCGCTCTGAGAACCTTGTGGGCGCCAGATTTGGTCAGGGACCAAGCTTGGCACATGATCATGAAGTTCCATCAGACAAAAAAAACCTGTTGCAAAATTTGAGGAGGTGCTACGACGCCGAGTTTCTTGCCTGCTTCCCCTTTTTCTGCGTCGCTCGGACCTTTGAAAGCCCGGAGGCTAGTGTAATGCTTTACTTCCAGCCAACTTTGACTGCTCACAACTTCCTTGGCAGGTTCATTTTGCAGTTTTAGTTTCCATATTTGTAATCAGCGTTTGAAGCTCTATCGATATATCTGGGTCTCATCTCAAAGTTCCATGGGAAGTTGAATGCCTTTCCTGGTAGTAACAGATGATGCAGCGAAATGTCCCTTAGCTCGATCTATGTAGTATCAAGCTGTATTCCTTAATAAGCATGGCAGTGATGTTGGGCGACCGTAGTTACCCCCTGTCCGATCCGGATAAGGTTCGGCTGCTGCTTGTGGCGAATATTCCTTTCACTCTCACTGACTTCCTAAGACCTCATGCGGGCATCCTCGAAGTTTGAAGATTGTAGCTCCGCTCCATGTGAGGAATTTTGTCGTCGATGAAAACGGTGCCCGCATTCCATTTTCGGCCCTCGACACCAGCTCTTTGAACTTTTTGTCTCTGCTGTGCTCCTCCCGTTGGATTGAGCAGTGGTGCTTATGCAACTTATAATGGACTGTGAACTGTTCCGACCACTCTCTACATGGCTGTGTTTAGAAACTCCAGCGTTCTGGTCACCTTTCTCGAGCCAACCCGGGTATTGCAGTCGTTTCGCTTCTTCATGCTTTTCCTGAGATCCAAGATGTCAGAACTTTGGGGCGGCCACAACAAAGACTACTTTTTTTATTTATTTATTTATTTATTTATTTATTTATTTATTTATTTATTTATTTATTTATTATATACTCGTATGAGTGCCACTGCTAACTTAACATAAGACCAAAGGCAAAAGCAAGGGAAGTTATATAAAGAGTAAAGGTAACTCTCGTATAATAGAGGTGAAGTCCAAGCTGGAAATGACCGTCCGCAGCGATTGCCATGTTGGCAACATGAATATTGATGATTAAAAAATATATATTTTTACTATTGTGCAGACTCTTATTTGTTCTTTTATTCATTAGTTCACGGTAGGCGCCGCGGAGTGATTGAAAATCCAAAGAAGCGCGATGCTCATCACCGGATGTCCGGGCTAGCTGTGTGAGGTGGTTAGGGCACTCTGTCGAAGTTTAGGCGCACCATGAGATGCAGGACCGAACGGCTAAGCCGTGGAATTTGTATGGTCATTGACAAGAGGGTAAAGGATTGAAAGGTCTGCCAATCTCGGAAGAAAAGCCATAAACACCTACAGAAATTGAGCTCAAAATTTGGTGCAATATTTATGGGCACCCTGTACAATGCGTCATGCACCCACTTCCATTCAAAATGGTGTTGGCTTTTGACCAGCTATCCATTCTTCAAAATTGCATGGGGTCAGCCAATGTAGAAGTCTGTTTCCAACGAGTTTTTTGTCCTGATGTAGAATCTTTTTCGTTTTGCTCGGTTGTAATTCAAGCCGAAATTTCGCGCCATTTTTTCGCAGCAGGTCAATGCTTCATCCTCTTGGAGGGACAAGCCCGTTTAAATTACTGCTTCTGAAAGGTAACCACACACAGCTTTATAAGTTGTAACCTAATTTCTGGTAACTTCTGGATGAATTTTCCACTACCTTCTGAGCTCGTCTAGGACTGAAAAGGAAGAGTGATCGCTGACCCTGACCGATACTGATCGCCGGAGCCAGTCCGGTCTTTGGTGATCGATTCGCTGCCACAATTTGAACTGAAACACCTGACAATGCCATCTGTTAGGGGCTGGGCAGTCGCTAACAATCTCAATTGACCGTCGGTTTCTTGACGATTTTGATCCTCTGGAGTGACACATTCGTGCTTTTGATAGCCTTTGATTACAGGTTTAGTTTTATCCCTTCAGATGCTATTTTTACTTTTACTTCTCATTGTTGTGACGCCTGTTTCTGCCGATCGCTGCTCTGCTATTCCACCATCACTTTGGTGTAGCAACAAAGAACTCATCAACGAGTGCGGATTCACCGATAAATGCGACCGGTTAGTGCTATTTGAGGTACACACTTAATATGCGGTAATATTGAAGCTGTGAGCGCAGCATTACAACAGTGCTGCAAAAACCTAAAGTCAGATAGGATTGTAGATTTCATGAAAAAAATTTCTGTTTGTGCAATAATTCTTATTTTTAAATCTTGTAAATGTATGTTTTATTATGGGGTCAATGCAACGAGGTAGTCTAGTTTCTGTTTCGCGCGTGCCCTTAGACGGAAACCAGACGGATTGAGTATCCCTTCTGTGCTCATCGGGGAAGGGAGGAACAGGTAAAGTCCGGGACAGAGT